TCTCTAACCTATAAGAGTGTAGCAAGTGTTAGGTCATGGTTAAGACATCAAAGCAACACCTCATCCCACAAGTTTCCTCCCTCTCGGCCGTAGTATTTAAGAGAAGTCATGGGAGAATTTTTCCACCTTCTTCTTCAGCACTTATTCCATATATTAAGCATACAGAGAGTTAGAGAGCCTTGATAAATTTTCCCTTAATTAATACCGCACCGCAAGAGAAAGGACACCGCATGCACCCGAAGCAAGCTAGACGAGAGGCGTTGCACAATTCATCGGAAGAGCATGTGAAGGTAGCTTTGTTTTCAGCATCTGTCACCATTTTATGTCATTTTATAATCTTTCAGTCCATGTTGGCCGAGAGTTTTCTAATCGGTCAAGTGTATGACATAGGGCCAAAGACCACGCACGGTGCGCGTGTCACGACTATTTCATGATAAGTTGAGTATTGTCGTATAAATAAGATAAAATAGCTCATGTCATGTTAAGTTAAGACATATTATGATACATCATGCTTCAGTTGTCGAGGGAATAAGCAGGTTCGGTCGTAGAACGGCCTAACGCCGTTGGTGGTGCATGGGAGCCGTCACGGCCATGTTCCACCGTTTGTACAAAATTTCATGTTTTAAGTTAAATCAGCATATATGATCATGTTATGATAGATTAAGTTTAATCATGTAGTAGTTGTTGGAGAAATCCGCCGGACGGCTGACGAGGGTCGGTCGTACTTGCGCTGCCCGCACATAGCGGCCGAATCGTACCGGCAGTGCGCGGGTGCGAAAATGATGCGCGGTATGGTACCGCGAGCGACCAGTAACCGCAGCAGGTAACTGGGCGATGCGCATGCGCACGCTAACACCCAGGCATGCACGCCAGCGCGCAGCAGCACACGACAGTGGCTCGCGCTGCGCCAGTACTGTCTGCTAGTGTTGCGCGTGCATTAATGAACCTAGTAGCACATCGCGGTGTGCGGTAACACCCGACTGTGCCCAGTTCCATGGCAGCCGGTGCACATAGCACTCGGCAGCACTCCAGGTCAGGTCTCGTTCATGTCCGTCATGGCCAAGTGCACCCAGCACTCTCGGTCGTGGCCAGGGCAGGCCCGGCAGCGGCCATGTGATGAGGATCGTGTGTTTCGATGCCGATAAGCCGCTAACCCGCGCCTCGAATCGCCGATAGTGTTCTTCGAGCCACAACCGCGCCTCTTGGAACGAATAAAATTGCAATAGTATTCTGATGAAAAGACTAAAGCAAAGTTGGAAGAACAAAGTTCTAGATTTCTATTAATGTCTTGTATGATGAAAAATAACATGGGGGTTGGTCCTTTATATAGGCACCAAATAGATCTAATCCTAATATATCTATAACTCTAGGAAAGCAACAAAATATTAAGTATCCTAAACAATCTAGATCTCATAATGTAAGATGGAAACAACTTGACTTGCACTCCACTCAAACTCTCTCTCTCTTCAGCCCTACGCACGCGGACGCCCAAGTCCAACCGCCTCACTTGCGCACCGCCTCCATCGGCCCTACTCCTTAAGGATTAGGGCACCGCCCTTAGCACCTGCACGCTTACCCGACGTGCGGCGCACGCTTGCGCCCATCGTGCCGCCCTCCCGCGCGTGTCCACCCGTCATTCCGCATTCCTCGAGGACTACGGCTTCGCGTCCCGCGCGTCCCTCTTCATCAGGCGTGTTGCGCGCGCCTTCGCCCTCGGATGCTTCTCTGCGCGTGTGCGGCCCCGCCTTTCCGCAT